ATATATATATATATATATATATATATATATATATATATATATATTGCTTTTGTGGTATGTGGGTGGTTAATTCCACCTTATCCGCATGTGAAGCAACATGCTCTAGTGGGAAGAACACTAGCTTAGGAGGGCAGAAAATCTTTGTACCAGGCCTGGCAGCGACTAAGTGGCTTGGAACCCCAATCTCTTCATCTGTACAATGAGGGTAAGATCTTCCCTGCCCATATTGCAGTGCTGTTGTGAAGCCCAAATGAGATTAATACAGAGGACAGCATCCTGAACACTGGTAAGTTACAGGACAGGAGATGCTGCCTTTATTGTCGAGAAGCCATTTGGTGTGGGAGACTGAGCATGGTGGTCAGGAAGATCTGGGTTCACATCCTCCCTCTTGACATTTAGTAGTTGTGTGATGGCGGGGTAAAGGGGGACAAATTACTTACTCTCTCAGTTTCAGGCTCCTCATCTGTAAAATGGGGATAATAATATGTATAGTACCTTTCTCACAGGATTATTGTGAGGTTCAAATAGAATAATATATGTGAAGAGATCTGTAAGTATTGCCATTATCACCAAGCTAACTAATATAGATGAATGTAAGCAAAAAAAAAAGGAAACATTTAGCCAATTCCTTTCAATGTCTTTTCTTTTTTTGCTAAAATATAATCATTTTTTGTAAATGTATATAGATATATAAAAACATGTGTAAGTATACGTATGTAAACATAAATGTAATATGTGTAGATGTTAAATGTATGTAAATATATTTGTATATGTGTATATATTTACATATGTTACCTTTCTTGATGTCACTGGCAAGATATTAGTCAATGATAACTTATAAATTTCACATTGCTTCTTTCTTAGCAGGAGCCCCGAGTTTGGTCAGTATTTTCTTGAGAGATACCATGATGATGGAGGCCTCAGGCCTTGCTTAAGTCAACAAGATTCACCCTCAAAATAAAAGTAAAAACAACACCCTTATTGTGCAAAGCTTTTCGTTTTCCCTGCCACTTGCTTTAAGGGCTTTAAGCAGCATATAAGTACATGTAATTATAGAATGTTAAGGCATCACTCATTCCCTCATTTTTCAGAGGAGGAAACTGAAGACAAGATGAAGAAAGTGAGGTCCTGATCTACCCAGCTCAATATTCCCTTTTACATTATACCACTACGTCATATAGGCATATGATGATAACAAGAGTGTTTGTGGATGCTTTAAGGTTTGAAAATGGCTATGTCCATTTAATCTGATCTTCCCAACAGAACTATTCTTATTTCTATTTTACAGGTAAGGATGCTGAGGCTAGAGAGGTTAGGTCAATTGTTTGCAGTCCCCAGCTGGTGTCAGAGGTGGAGTTGAACCTGACTTTAAACCGCAATCTCACATTGCCTTCTGATATTGGACACTTCTCTGGTTTTGATTCAGTTGCATTATTAGGTCCTGCTTTGTAAATCATCTACTCTGAGAGAGGGGGGCTCCCCCCACTGCAACCGTGCAACCTGTGTGATTTTACCACAGAAATTTATTCTTTGTATTTTAACCTCAGGAAGTTTGCAGAGCCTTGACAGTGAGAAATGCCAAGGCTACTTCTGTAGAGGTCCACAGTTCAGCAGAGAACTGTGTCCAGGGGGAGGAGAGGGCAGAGGGCAGAGGGCAGGAGAGTCAAAATGGACCTGCTGTTTTCTGCCTAGCAGCTATTACCTGCCTCTCCCCCAAAACACGAAGTCAGCAGTTGGCAGTTTTATCTTGTTCATTGAGCCCATACATTTATTTGTTTGTTTTTAATTATGAATTACATCTGGCCCTTTCTTTTCCTAATCCTGGTCCAAGGTGAACAGCAATGTGTCTGCTGAGCATAGGGAAAACAAAATTAGAGCATGAAACATGATTTTCCATTTTGTCTGAAGTGGAAGCCAGATTTCGGCGTCTTTCACTGACATTCTCTGCTTTTGACAGAAGTGCTGAGTTGTGGAAGAGCTTAGTGCCAACGGAGATGAGAAGACTTCACTTTGTGGGCCCTCATGGAAGCCTCCTGATTTTGCAGGGCAGGGCAGAGGCAGATTCATCTGTCTTAATCTTTGTGTAGAACATACAGCATCCCCTTCAGTGAGTGACTAAAAGCCTGTAGTTTGGACTGTTTGTTTGAAAAGTCCCAAATGAGAACAAGTGGATGGTAGTGCTGCAGAAAAAGATTTAGACGTTGCCTGTCTCTAGAAAACAAACCTTGATCAGTTCGTGCTTCTGAATGCTAGTGACTTCACAAAGCCTTCAAACCTGCACCCGCCACCTGGGTGACAAAAACACACTGGTTGAGGTCCGCACTAGCATTTTTCCCTTCTGTGTGATTTTTATTAAGTTCTCACCTTAGCTGCTCAAGGAGAAGGGGAGAAAAGACTGAGAGACATTGCTAGACTGAGTCATGTGGCTGTTAACAATTCTGTTCTCTTGCCCTCTTAACTGGTCATTCTGGGTATTTGCCTCATTGGTTATTGGATGATGTATGGTCAAGTCACATGGTTTTGTTCAGTGGTAAAGTTCAGTGAAGACCTGAGAAGTCCAAACCCACCAATGACCCAGGCTGAAATAATTGGGCTTTTGCTTTGGTTTTATTACCAGGAAAACATGGAACGTGGAGAAGAGAGTTATGGGGACCATAGCCAAGTTGATGATGATAATGATGTCATCCTCAATTCCTTAGCACTCTTCCTAGGAAATATTCAGATCACTTCATTAGGATCATGATCACATTTGTTCTTATAACAGCTCCCTCAACTAGATGAGAAGTTTAGGAAATTGATCCCTTCAGTGAACTGTCTATATCACCCTGGGGAAAGCATGATTCCTTTCAGAGCCGTCTGTTTTCCACTAGCCTCATGCCCAGCTGAATGCCACCTCCCACTTAGGCATTGATCACCATTGCCTAAATGAGCTCACCTGAAGTGTAGAGTGACATGGAAAGCAATTTGCTTTATTTGTGAAAATGTGTGTAGGCACAAGGGGGACCACGAACCCTGGGACCAGCAGACATTTTGCCCCTACTTACTAGTTAGGAGCTCAGATCCAGGTCTCTAACTACTTTATTCATGCCAATAGCGTTCATAAGAGATAAATAGTAGGTGATGTTACACGCAGTACCATCATTCAAAGGATCTCAGAACACTTTCTATTCTAGAAGTTTTCATTTGTGTGTGCGTGTATGTGTGTGGGTGTATGTGTGAGAGAGAGAGAGAGAGACAGAGAAACAGAGGGAGAGAGAGAAAGAGAGACTGGGACAGAGATAAGGAAGCTACTTTTCATTTTCTTTAAACGTAAACTCATTGAGTGCCCAGAAGGTTTTCCTTTTGTCTTTGAATACTCAATGCTTTCTATGCTTTTTTCTCCCCAGACCTGTGGTTTCACTAATGTAGGAAACCTTCCAGTGTGGATATAGATCATCAACTCACCTGTAATTTATAGTATCAGAATGCTGCCTGGGATGCTCAGGGTTCAGTGACTTGCCCGTGGTCACATGGCTAATTATCCATCAAAGTCAAGACTTGAACTCAGATCTTCATCCTTCCAGTGCTACCACTCAGACCCTTATGCCACATTGCATCTCAGATTAACCTTGAGATTCTATTCAATTAGACATCAGAACAAGGTTAATGAGGGATTCATAGTATTTTAAGGTTTGCCACCCCTTGTCATCTCTGGAGTACAGGCATTAGTGCCCTTTTCTTCAGATGAAGAAACTGAAACTTTTATTTTATTTTGGTTGTGACCTGCAATTTTATCTATATGAGGATCTGCTTCTCAGCGTAGAAACTTTTTTCATTGATCCAAATGGGTAACTCTAGTGTAGCTTCAAGTTTCCTTAGAGTTTACTACCCAGGGCACTGGGAGAAGAGAAAGGACTTGTCCATGGTTAAACAAGTGTTACATGTCAACTCTTATGTGCAAAGCCTTATGAGTTGACTCTGTGTGCAAAGTATGTTGTAATAAATAGGACTTGGAGTCAGGGAGATGAGGATTCGAGTTCTGCCTTTGACCTATACCGGTCAGGTGACCCTGGGCAAATCGTTTGTCATGTTTGGACTCTAGGCAATGCTCTAAAACTTTAAGTGACTAGGGGGCAGCTAGGTGTCGCAGTGGATAGAGCACCGGCGCTGAAGTCAGGAGGACCTCAGTTCAAATTCGGCCTCAGACCAAACACTTGACACACTTACTAGCTGTGTGACCCTGGGCAAGTCACTTAACCCCAATTGCCTTAAAAAAAAAAAAGAACTTTAAGTGACTGCTGAGTTCAGATATGCACCGTTCGTGGGAATCTCCACACTTGATTTTTCTATGCTGATGGCATCATGGATCCAGATTAAAGAAAAGATGTCTAAGGGCCAGTGGTAGGCCAGTATAGGTACGGAGACAAAAATAAAGCTGCTCCTACCCTCACCCTCAAGGAGATTACATTCCTCAGCTTTATGCTTCTAGAATCTTAGGGGCTAGCTGTTGTAACTCAGCGGTGAGCCAGAAACTTCCTTAGAGCATCCCTGAAAAGTGACTGTCCAGCCTTTGCTTATGTAGCTCGACACAGAGTGGAAGTGACAGTATGCTATATTGACAGTTAAATTGTTGGTTGAGGGGAACTTGATTTTTTTCCTTACAACTTTCTGTGTGGCCATTCCAGCAAACCACAGAGAAGGCAATATGGCACCAGCACCTTCCTTAGAGATCTTCCAAGCAGCCTACTCTTCTGGAAACTGCTCTGGATTTGGAGTCAGAAGACTCAGGTTCAAGTCATTGAAGTCAGGTCCAGCTGTTCACCAGCTGTTTGACCTTTGGGCTAATCAATCCACTTACCTGACCATCAGGCCCATCTGAAAATAAAAGGATTAAAGTAGATGATCTCTAAGGTCCTACCAGCTTTACATCTTATTATCTCTGATTCCAGTTGATTGGTTGGATGCCCCAACACATGCATTAACTATTAATGTCTAGTGTGAGGTTAGAATACTGGGGTTTTTTTTTTAAAGAGGGAAACTGAGACCCAGCTAAGGTCAAGGTAGGTTTCCCAAGGCTATTAGTGAGTCAGATATGAATGTAACTTCAGGAAATCTTAGTGCCTGTCCCTTATTTTATCTGTCAGCCAGCATACAGCTAGTATATCCAAGTGCCTGATGTTAGGAATTTTTTGTTTGTTTCCTTCCAATCATTTGAAGAAACCAGTAACTTAGTTCTCTTTGTCATGTTTCAATCTAGAGAGCTACAGTTCTCCCATTGTGAGGTCATGGGCTATAGACCTCACCATCATTTACTAAGATGTAATATTTGAGATTTTGCTAGCTGTGACTAAATGTGGGTCATGTTTAATCAAATCCCAGTTTGTCTGGCTTCTTTTTAAGGGGAAGATGACATTTGGAAACATTTTTCTTGAGCTTGTCCCATGTGAAGTAAAATGATTTGGGTTTTTGGTTTGCTAACAATTCCCAGTGCTTCATCTCTTCCTTCGAAATGGAAGGGAAAGATTTTTCAGACTCTCCAGAGCTTCTAGAGATAAAAAATTGGTTTTATTTTATGTTTTCTGTTTTAGGAAATTGATGGAAAATCCCTGCTGCTCATGACAAGGAATGATGTGTTAACGGGACTTTCATTAAAATTGGGTCCTGCTCTGAAAATCTACGAATATCATGTAAAACCTCTGCAGACTCGGCATTTAAAGAACAACTCCTAAAGTCAAGTTGGGGCCTTGAACCTCAAATAATAAATGATTAAGTAATTTAGTTTCATGTGATGAAACTCTGTAAACATAGAATACATATATATGTATATGTTGAGAATTTCAAACAAAAGAAAACTTTATCCTATTGGATAGAATAGGCAATCCACTGTCCCGATTGAAACATCGGGAGCTAGGAGCACCAGCGGAATGCATGGTTTTCCTTTGGGGACTTATCAATAGAATCATGGAGAGAATTAGGCTACAATGCTTTGAATGACAAGGCTTGCTTTATATATTTCTTCATTCCTTCATATGCTATTTCCCCGAAACTCTCAAAAAAACCAGACAAGAAAACAAACATCTTTGCTTATGGATTTAGAGAGAGACGGAAAAAGAAAAAAGGCGGGTGGAATTTGGGAGAAGGTTGGAGAAAGGTGAAAGGAAGAAACATCGCCCCCCTCCCCCAAGTTCCTGCTCCGAGTAGCTTTGTGTTACTTGGATGGAATTGCCAACACCCTTATTTGTAGAGGGTCCTCTACTTGACCTTATTAAGGTTTACATGTGTTATCGTATGATGTTTTAAAGGAATGAGCAGACAACATGCATAGAGCCCATTCCAGAGCCGAAGGCAACGCTGAGAAGTGAAGCTCTGTTAAGTATTTGGGGCGATCATCCACTTCCAGCTTGTTTTCACGAGGATGTAATGGCATTTTCTATGTAGAGTTGTTTTTAAATAGGTTCTATTGTTTGGAAGAAAATGTTTCCACTTTATGGTTTATATTTATAATAACTTGTGTTTTGAAGAACTTTGCAGACAGCTGTAAAAAAAAAAAAGGCTTGTTCCTTACACAGAATTTTTGTTCATGTTCATTCTTTTATGGTGGTGTGATTTCCCCCCCCCCCCCCGTCTTCTGATGCTTTCTTTATTTAATTTCTGGTTTGAAAACTTGCTTTTAAGAGCTTGGAATAAATGGGCTTGCTACTTACTCATCTCTGTTCCAAGAGACATTTGTTCAATCTGCTTGCTCTAATGCCCTGTTGAGCTGGTGCCCTGTGGTCCTAATAAAGTGTTGCTTTGGTTCATTCCCAATGAATTTTGGCTCTTTCTGCTTTATTACTTCTTCATTTGGGATTAGGAGTGACTGTCTTCTGGAGACATTTCTTAATGTTCAGGTCCTGATGACATCATGCCAAATAAAGTACAGAGATAGGGGAATTAATTTAATTAACTTCAATTCAACAAGTATTATTAAGCTCATATATTCTTTGCTAAGCTCTTTATGTTGCTGGGGATATAGATGCAAAAGAGGGAAAGTCCCTGCTTTCAAGGAGCTTACATTCTATCACAGGATACAACCTGGATATTGATTAATCAATACAAAGGTTAGAAACTGGAAGAATCTCAAAGTCCTTATTTGGGAGATGACACTTAACTGAACTTTGAGAGGAGCTAGACATTCCAAGAAGAAGAGGTGAGGAGAGAGAGTATTACAGATATGGGGGGGAGGGGTGTAAATTGTGCAAAGGCATAAAGGTAGGAGAAGGAATAGTAAATGGGAAGAACAGCAGGTAGACCGATTTGGCTGAAGCAGGGGAGTGGGGTGAAATTAATTCGAAAAGATAGGCTGCTGCCAGATTGTGAAGGGCTTTAAATGGCTAAATCCGGCTAAATTAATCCAGATGGGCAACCAGAAATTTCAAGTCCAAAGAAATCTCCAATGATACTAAATATGGGGTCATTCCCTTTTGCCCCAGGCTAACTAAGGTCAACATTAAAACCTTTTATTTTCAGTAAATCATTATTCTGTGGAGGTATTTTGACTAAAAAACATGGAGCCTGAAGGTTGAGAATAACAATAAGCCATTTAACAAAGGAAGTCAGTAATTTGTGTATTTGTGTTCTAATTCTAAAGTCATTCTTTAGATGCAGAATGGTACATTGGAAAGACTGTTGAATATAGAGTCATGGGATTTTAGTTCAAATTCCAGTTCTACTACTTATTGAATAGTGGAGTCACTTATGTATCTAGGCCTTGGTTTCTCATCTATAAAATGAAAGGGATTGAATGATGATGACCATAAAGATCCCTTCCCGCTCTGTCTCTCTGAGCCTTGCTCAGTAAGGATTTCTTTTTTTTTTTTCATTTTAAGACATCTGTTTATGCATTTTTTACATATGACACATCCAGATGTTTATGTTCAACTGTATGCATCTATGATTCCTCACTATTTCCACCACAATTTCTTTATTTTGGTTTTAACAGATGTTACACTGAAAAGCATTTTAAGGGGGGATTTTTATTTTTTTATTTTTTTTTTGTCATGTATAGATTTATTTTCCTTTAAGTATAGAATACATTTATCATGTACTTTCTTTTTTTAAAATTTTTTTATTGATTTTTTTTGATTTATCAATAATCACTTCCATATGCTTTTGAGTTTAAAATTTTTCTCCCCCTTCCTCCCCACCACCCTCCCCAAGACGGCGCACAATCTGATATACACTACACATTTACATTCATATTAAACATATTTTCACATTAGTGATGTTGTCAGTAGAAATTAAAATCAATAGGAGGAACCATCAGAAAGAGGAAACAAAACTCAACAGAAGAGAAAAAGAATAACAATTCGGCTTCCATAGTTCTTTCTTTGGGTATGGATGGCATTTTCCATCACAAGGCCTCAGTAAGGATTTCTTGACCACCTCTTGTGTGCACAGGATTCTGCTAGGGTGAAGAGGCCAAGGAACACACAATAGAGCTTGGAAAATGTGACTTAACAAGAAGATAAAATGCTCCAATGAGTGACGCGGACAAGAGTTGGAAGGAAGCTTAGTAGCCACCGAATCCAACCTTGACCACTATGACACACCCATCTAGCCTTGACCTGAAGACCCCAATGAGAAGAGCCCCATCACCCCGTTCCCCCTCCCCCAACTCCGCATCCCATTCTTCCTTGGAACATCTCTAGTTAGGAAGTTTTTCCTGATGAAATTTTCTTCTTTGCAGCTTCTCTCCATTGCTCCTTTCCCTTCTATAGCCAAATAGAACAAACCTAATCCTTCTTAGACTCCAAAAAGGGCAGAGATCAATTTGAACTGGAGTGACCAGAGAAGATTTCACTGAGGAGGTTCTGTAAGATGGAAAGTTCACTGTGGAGAACCCTCTCCAAAATAGTTTTCCATCAGCAAAATGGGAAAAATAATCCTTGTCCCTCCTCTGATTCACCAGGGACGTTATGAGGTCCAAAGAAAGAAATTGCTTAAGTTCTGCTTTAGCATATTGCCATATTCTCAACTCTGTTTGGTGGTTATTCTGTTCTCCAGCCATTGTATTCCCATAACACAGTAACTGTTGACAGTATTAGTAGCTACCTCATGTCCACACTCACATTCACTCTAAAACTCCTGAGTACTGACATTGGGACCCTTGTTTAAAACTGAGTCTAAATCAATCCAATGCCAGCCAAGAAGCATTGATTAAGTGCTTACTATGCTTAAGGAGAAAGGCAACTTGACATAATGGATAGGGAGCCAGCTTTGAAGTCAAGAAAATGGGTGTTGAAATCCTGCCTCTGACATATGCTAGTTCTGTAATCCCGGGCAAGTCCTTTGAACTATCAGCACCTCAGGCACTGTCTAAGATAATGCCAGTCAACCAATAAACATTAAATGTTCACTATGTGCCAAGCATTGTGCTAAGGGCTAGGATTACAAAGAAAGAGAAAATGACAATTCCTGCCCTCAAAGATGTCATAATCGATTGGGGGAAACTATGCAAGTAACAACATACGAACAAGCTATATACAGGATAAATAGGGGGTAGTCAACAGAGAGAAGTATTAGAATTAGGACACATTGGGAAAAGTTTCCCATAGAAAGTAGGATTTTGGGTGGGACTTGAAGGAAGCCAGGGAAACCCAGAGGAGGAGATGAGAAGAGTGTCTATTCCCATTAGACAGATGAGCTGCAGATCTCCATTGATGGGAAGGATTGCCAGTAGCTCCCTTGTGAAATTCTCTGGAATTGATTTCTTCCCTTACCCACCCCCCCAAATGCATAAAAAGCACTGGGGATACAAAACAAAATTTAAAAAATATATAGTTCCTGCCCTCAAGGAGCTTACATTCTATTGTGTAAGTTAACTGAGCAAAACACAATGGCTATCCTGGGTACACAGGAAGTGCTCTTTTAATAAGTGTTTGACATGAAATGAAGGAAAGAAGTTTTGGACTGGCTTATTTAAAAGAAAACAGAAAGGAGATTATGTAACTTCTCTGGTGTCTTGCGAAGCCTTTCTAGCAGTCTCTTTCCTAATAGTGGCCAAAAAAAAACAAAACAAAACAAAAACCCAACAACTCAGAGACAGAAGGTAGGTCCCTAAGACTTTGAATAATGACCTACTACAGGCAGGCTCTTCATACTCCAGGGAGCCATCAGGATGCCACATTGGACAATAATTAAAAGCTGTCTTCACTGTGACTTTACCAGGGGAAAAACACCATGATCAGAACAGGCCACAGAGGATGGCTGATGTTTGAAATGTGTCCCGGGCGGCTCTTGTTACCAGACAGCTGCAGAAATCAGCAAAGTCTGATTTCTTTTTCAGCTCACACTGAACTTTAAATAAATTTATGAGGCCTGGCTCTGCACCTTGAAGAAATAAAGCTATTCAAGAAAAGGTAGCAGTGATGGGAATAGGTTGGGCATATCCTTTGGCCAAAATGTCTTCTGTGAAGAGGGCTTGGCAAGGAACCACTTAATATTTGAGATCTTGCACAGAAACTTGGCCAATCGATCTACACTAAGAGACAGGGGTATGGTATACTGAAGACCTGCGTTTGAAACCTGCCTTAGGTACCTACTGGCTGTGTGATCCCGGACAATTTCCTTGTCTGTAAAATGGGAATAATAATAGCATTTATGTCAGTGTTGTTGTGAAGATCCAATGAGATATTTTTAAAGTGTTTGGAAAATATGAAAGCAATATGTAAATATTAATATCAGACCT